TATCAGCAGCAGCCTCAGCAGGGTGGGTATATGGGTCAGCAGCAGTGGGGTCAGATGTAGGGGTGATGTCGGCTGTGTTTTGCTTCGGTGATGGTGACCGCTGTTTGTAGTGGAGAGCAGAGTTTGAGGAGACAGGGATGAGGAAGGTATACATCTGCCGTCAGACTTTCTTTCTTGTTGTATTATATCTGACCTGTCTTTGGATTGTTGTGTATACCTTGCGAAATCACTGTCTTCCCGCTTTGCTGTTCTTTTCTGAACCTTCTTGCCTTTTGCTTTGTGATGTTCTTGTTCGTAGTACTCTAGGATTTAGTTCGATAATGGATTAAGGGGATGGTGTTTTTGCGTAATGTCATGAGATCGTGGTGGTGTCTAGTGCTACCTACAGGTGGTCGTAAAAGTCGTAGTGGTGATCGTGACTGCAAGCGTATAGTGAGGTGATGGTAAACATGTGTGGCTAAGAATCCAATGTGATATACGAATCCTAAATGATAATCCAAGAAAGCAGAAAGAGAGTGGTAAGAAACTGTCCCAAATTACGAACGGAATGTCCGAGAGAACGGAGGAAGGCTATCGCGCACAAGGGCCCGATCCCGACCCCGAAACACAGCTAATACCCACAGCGACCTCGGACATCTCCTTGAGCCTGGGGTTGCTGTTTGGCCTTAGCCCGAACAGACCGAGGGAGAAACGCAGTTGTGGTCTGAACGGTTCCCGAGCCTGGATCCTTCGAAACATTTCCGATCTGAGCTCGTACCCCCTTCGCAGCCGCGTTGGAGTTGTCGGAGAGGGGTTGTAAAGGTGCGGGGGTCGGTGGCTTCGACTTCGGTGGGTCCTGAGTCGTTCGAGTCTTGGTGAGTTCAAGCTTGGAGGCGTGGGGTTTCCTCTTCTCTGGAGGCTCGGTCGAAACTTCGGGCCCTGCGTTCTCCTTTCCTGCTTGTACATCGCCGAGACCGGCGGTGCGTGTCAGTGGTTTGACATCAGCGTCCTCTCCGAAAGGCTTCCACTTGTTACCACCCGAGTTCTGCTCGGGTTTCGTCGAGGCGGTACCACGGTGAATCTCGTTCCGAGATGGCTTAGGCTGGAGTTCTTGTGTACCCTTGGTGGACGAAAGAGCAAGGGAAGCCAGCTCTTCAGCGAGCTTGTCAGCAGGGTCGCTAGTTCTAGTAACATTGTCCGGGTTGCTGGCGACAACGGTAGAGGGCATGATAATCTGAATCCGGGCCTTTGTCCTGTGAGCCATGGTATCAGCCTTCTTCGATTGACTATCCGCAGAGGATGGCGGGAGTGTGTTCTGGTCCTGTTTGTCAAACACAGCTGACAAGGAAGATGCAGGTTGGCCTTTCTTGGTGGTACTCGTCTTGATGTGCAAGGTATTCGACATCAAGGAAGAGAGCGCAGCGACAGCTGGATCCTCCTCGCTCTTGTTGACAGCGAAAACTAAGTGGGGGAGTAACCGGGTGCCGCTGATGTTGCGGGAAATATCAGCATCCCACGCATAGAATCCTCAGATGTATAGACGATGAAGAAGGCAAGAGAAACGTACCATTGTTCTAGGAGAACGTCGTGCGCTTTGAGCACAATGGGTTTGAGCCATCCTTCTCCCCACGTCATGGTTGCCTCTGGATCTTGGTGGTAGCTCCATCCGACCATGGCCTTGAACATCACAGCAAGGTGGGCTGGCGTGGGGGGTTTCCAGGCAACAGAGATGAAGTGTGAAGCGTCGCTGTGATCAGTCTCAGATGAAGAGGTAGACCGGGTATCATCTACCTCAACGAGAGCGTAGAGATCACCCAACTTGAGAACCGTACACAGGTATGCCATGATAGGGTCGCTAATCACCAGCTGTGTTATGAGCTAACAAAAGTATACTCAGCTTCGTAGAGACAAAAAAGTAGCATGGAATTGCCTACAGTCAAGAATCGGGGAGCCTTCGCTCGAGCAGCAAGATACTCAGGCCACTGCCGGATGACGATCTGGCAAATCCACATCTCTATGAGGTGAACAGCAACGACAACCTTCTCGCCATCGGGTTCTTGCAGTCTGTCCGTCCCAACATCGAACCTAAATTTCGTACCCTTGGGAAGTCGGTCAAGGGCTATCCTCGCGCCAGTCTTGAGAGATTCGCGTTTAAACTCGACGTAGTCAAGAAGTCTTCCCTGCGACACCGGATCGACAAAGTCCAACCTGTGCTTCGGGTTCCGCACATTGTAACCGCCTTCCAGTTGCTCTGGAGACACAGAGAACCAATAGTCGGTCGTAGCGGCTTTGACGATAGGGAAGAACAGCTTGTCTAGCCATTGCTGAAGTCTCGGCCAGCCGTGATGAACGTATACAGCGCCGACGTAGGATTCGAAGAGGTCTGCAAGACACTTTGGGGGGTGTCTTGCTTCGAGCGGGTTCCAGTCTTCGATGGCCTGCAGATCGGAAGGGGGTACCAAGGCGTGTGTGTGAAGACGGAGAGTGTACGCAATACGGCCAAGAGTGTTGTTGGTGCAAACGGTCTGACGCACAGCCTGCAAGAGAAAAGTCAGCGATGTAAGGTGTGGTAGGGTAATAACGAGCTGGGGTGTGACTCACCGAGTGATGCGCTGTGTTCAGCTTCATCTTGTCCACCAACGATGCTGCAAAGAGGTTTACCAGTCGGTCGCCAACAAATTCGAGAAGGTCGTTGTTGTTGGCGGTATGGATTATGCAATTTCGAGCCTGTTTGAGGAGGGCCTCCGGAAGTGGTGGTAGATCCTTGACTGAGACCCGACTGTGTGGTTTGTTCAAATAGTCTCGGACATGGTTGGGACTCGGACTCCGTCGGACATTGGTATACTGCACTGTGACGACGCCCGAGGTTGCCATTTGTATTCCCTTGCGCGGTGCGAGCGTAATCTGCAAGAAAATACAAGCGTTAGGGGCTGAACATGGGAGTTTGGGAAGGGACTGTATTTCTCCTCACGTAAATACAGCAGACCATTCGAATCTGAGATCACCATGAGGCTGACCACGGATAATGCCGGGACGCGTTAAGACGCGTCGGTCACGTGAGCGCGTCGTGGAAGGCCACAATGTGGTGAAAAGTATGTAGATAATCACACACTGGGGATGATATTTGTTGAAAATGACCATTCGTTAGTCGTAGGTATTGAAGCCCCATCATGGGACTCCTGCCGCTTTCCTTCCAGTTCAAAGATCAAGCATCCTCCAACACCCCCCTCCCACCCTCCTGACCCTCCTCACACCACCTCCTGACTTTGACCTTCCCTCCAACTCTCACCACCCACTCTTCCTCTCTCCGTCCTTCCCGTTCCCAGATAACCTCACCTTCCGCCGATACAGGCACGGCATACGTCCCAAACAACGCGCTTTTCTTCGTTTTGCTGTCGGTGTTGCCGTAGGGAAGGATTGCGCTGTTGAGGGAGATGTCGCGTGTGCCTGTGAGGGGGTCTACGTTTGGGAGCTACGGAGGTGTTAGTGTTAGCTTGAAAGGGATGGGATGGGAGGGACATACCGTACAACGCGGTGTATCGGCAACAGACACCAATACCACCGTGCTTTCGTCTTGGTTGAGTGATGCAGGTGAACGAATCTCGACTTCCCCCCAAAGATCTTCTGCATACGGCACACCCGCACCTTCAAACACCAAGTTCGGCCGAAACCGTTCTATCTGGACTTTGCGATTCGCCCAGGTCGGGTCGAGAGGACCAGAGACGCCTTTGACTTTCCCGTTCACCTGGGCGGAGAGGTTCACGGCGCGAGTGAGCGAGTCCAGACTTTCCTGTGTGGCAAAATGGACCGGGTATGTGTCCTACGGGTCTGTCAGCACAATATTCAGGTCCGTGACTGCGTAGAACGTTGGAACATACGCAGTAAGTCATCGTAGCTTTAAGGTCTGGGAACATCTCAGACCGCGGACACGATCTGTCCTGCGGTCCTTTCATCACCAACAACACATCCTTCTTGAGGAACTTTGACAGGATAGCAGACGGCGACCGTGAGTCGCCAGAAATGGACTGGCAGATGTATCCGTCCATGTGAGCTTTGAACCACAACGGCATCACGTCTTCTAGGCTAATCGGGGGGTTGTCAGAGTTAGTGGCGTGTGAGTGAGAGGATACGTACTAGTCCCAAGATTCGAGCATGTCGGGTGGTGGGTTGAGGGGAACAGAGAATGTGTGGGTTACGCCATCGTTTTCGCCGGAGGGAACTTGGACGATGAGGAGACCTCCGAAGGGAGAGTTGGGGTCTTCTTGGATTTGTGGTATGATATGCGTTAGCTGCCGGAACCATGAAAATGGGTGAACACATGAAGTATTGGAATGGATTGTGATATATACCTGTGGGTATGCGCGTAGGCTAATGACATTGTGGTCTTGTGCAGTCACGATAGACCATTTCCTATCGTACTGTCAGAGCTCGGTGTGAGCGTCGCGGGAGCGGAGTGGGATGATCGATCGAGAGGATAACTCACTTGGAACCCCACTGGGCTGAGACGCGCCTGCTGTACTGAGGTTCCTCGACAACTCTGAACGTGAAGAGGGCGGCGGCTTAGTCGAGGAGCTGAGGGAAGGATAAGAAGATGTACGGACTTTGATTGGGAAAACCCAGATCTGACTGACGACTATGTTGTCTTCGTTTACATCCTTTCTATTTACTGGCTTCGTTGGTTTTCCCAGTACGGGCACGCTAACGTTGACGGTGCGGGCATTCTGCACGCATCGGGGTGAGTATGAATCGGACGGGTGAGAGATGAAAATGTACAGAGAGTTTTGCGCGGACAACGTAGAGTGCTGGGACAAGCAGCAAAGCCAGCAGCAGGTACTGGTTGTCCATGGGGATGACCTGGAGCTGTGTTAGCTAGCGACATGGCTTTATATGAGCGATGCAATTTTGGGAGAGGATGATGTATTTGGGAGAATGTTTTCCGATATGTTGGGCTTGATCCCCACGGAGTCACGGATGTCGGCGAGACGGAGGGTGTTGGGGAGGAGACTGCGGAGGAAGAGTATGGTTCAATGGTCTAGTGGTTATGACTTCTGCTTTACAGCTGTGAACGCAGACGGTCGCCGGTTCGACCCCGGCTTGAATCAGCTTTTTGCGTCTGTGAGGAGAATTGATCCCGGTGCCTGATTGGGATGAGCCGGAGAGAGAAAGTTCCCATCCGCTGGTGAGGAGTTTCAGCTCCCCTTATAACCTCCTCTCATCTCCCCGTCCCCGTCCCCGCTCCAGTCCGTCCTTTTATTAGCGACGACGACGACAGCAGCGACGACCTCCTCCGCCCTCCCGCAGCCATGGCAAACCCAACGCCCTCCATCATCCTGTCGCCCCCCGATCCCGTCCCCTCCGTCATCTTCAACGAGTTCGATACCATCGTCTCATGTTCCTCGGGCACCATCTCATGGGACACACAAGGGTACCCCACCGACATGTCCCTCTTCGTGACCAACGAAATCGACGGGTTCCCCCCACCGACTACCTTCTACAACATCACACTCGCAACCCATGTCAATCCCCTCGTCGAGATGTACAAGTGGAACCCAGTCACTGTCCCGATAGGCCAATATGTCATCTGGGGCTGCTACAACGGCGAAGTCTCAATCTCTCCTACCTTCTTCGTATCGAGCGGTCCAGACAATTCATGTCTCGCAGGCAACACTCCTATCCCGTCCCCTAACCCCACCTCAGAATCGGTCACCACTACACCTCCCAGCAACAACACAGACACGCCCATCCCCATCGGTGCGATTGCTTCAGACTCGCACAGCCATGTCGGCGCGATTGCTGGCGGTACCATCGGCGGTATTGCCCTCCTCTTACTCATCCTCCTCGGTGTCTATGCCTTCCTGCGCTACCGTCGCCGCGTCAATCGAACCCGCAGTGCATCACAATCAGGAGCTATCGGAGGAGGAGGAGGCGGGGCTGGGAAATGGAACGGCCTGTCATCCCGGGAATCCAACATCCAGTCATCACTGCCCCAGTACGCAGTCGGTGACAGGAAGGTAGTGCCGACTGGAATCAGGAGCGTCAACCAGGTACAGGGCCCAGTCTCGCCTGTTGCATCGGACGAGGATGTGTCGACTCTGGCGGACGAGGAGAAGCTGGAGGGAGGCGAATATGTGAACAGTGTGGCGCCGCTGCCATACACCGGTCAACCCCACCACCACCATCGTCGTTCGTCCACAGGCTCAGTCCTCTCCTCCCCACCTCGCTCACCCACCCAACACCGCATCCCTCCGCCAAAGTTGGATGCGAACGGTGCGTATGCGTACTCCCGCAGACAGTCGTTGGATACTCGCGTTCTCTCAAGCACGCCATCCAGCGGGTCTCACACTCCTGTCTCACCTACCAACATGCCGGAAATGATAGCGATGGACATCAAGCGAACATCTTCTGGACATCGTCGTGTAGCAACCACGCGGAAGCCCGTCCCTACCTACACGTCTTCCGAAGTCGACGTCACGTCTGCTTCATCTGAGTTCGGGGTCGCCCCTCTTACCACAACGGATATCGACAGGTCTAGGAGCGTTGGGAGCGAGAGCGCGACGACGCTGAACTCGCACGGCGGAGGCGCGGCGTGGAAATCCAGGGAAGATCTGGTGGGCTTGAGTCACAAGGCAAGCTTTGGAGAGGGCCGACAGGTGCATTACCTTATTCCGGATATGCCGCCTCCTCAGAAGGATTAGAGAGGGGGGAGTAGATTTGTTTTGGCGGTTCCGTGATCATGGTTAGTGCATTCCTTGGACGGATGGCATCGTTGCAGATGGAGCTGATCAAGGTTCACAGATCGAAGCCGCCTTCGCCTTCGCCATCTCCTGATCGTTCCCCCCTCCACCCTTTCACTTCACCACATCCGTACACCCATCATCTGCGTATTTATCCTTCCTTCGCTCGGACCCTTACTTACTCATACTTCTAACCCACTGCTAACACCATCTACCATTCACATCATCCGCCACCCCCCTCGTCCACCATCTCACGCAAAAACCTGTGCTTTCGGATGTATACAACGCCCCTTCGACGTTTTTCTTCCTGTCTTTGATGTGTTTTAATGCCCCTTCATCTCGCCCTCCTATCCTTCACGACGCTTGCTTGTTTTTTTTTCACTTCACTGTTGTATTGCGTATGATCTCTTACAGGATCTTCTTGGTTTTCTACCTTCGCAGTTCTTGGTTTGCTGAGGAACTCAAATCTACATATGACGTCCCGTCGTTCCTTTCATTTCCGCATGCGCCGTAGCGGAAAGGCTGCAATCCACCATTCCGACCTGAGACCTTCGGGACCGATCACATCTCATCTCTGTGGCCCACTTGCCGCGATATTGAATGACGTCGAGCGTTGGGGTCTAAATTGCTCGCTATCTCAACGAGGCTCTCGCGAGGCCACCATCGTCATCGTTAATCATTACGTTCCTTCCTGAATTGGAACGATTCCTGCTAACTTCTGCATCTAATGCAGCAGCGTTCTGTCGGTGACCTCTGCCCACCGCGATACCAATAATAAGCCCGTGGGTGTCTTTTCACCGGTTTCGCAGTCTTGGACGCTCTTCCTTCCAGGCCTAGAGCTTCCAGCGCGAATGCGAAAGTGCAACATGAAACCACGAAGGACGGTAACTGAAGCCTGGCCGAGGTTGCATATGAAACGAAACATGGGGGCGTCATTACCAAATGAATGGGATATTATGATACAGACATACATAAGCAGGGGTGTCAATGATGTGTGAGGTGTGTGTATGCAAGCAAGAGTTGAAACGATGCAGCAGCAGAGCGGAGAGATGAGAAATGAGAAATGAGAAATTGAGTCGAAAAACCCGGTGTTGCTGTGAGGGCTATGAGAACCCGTCGATCTCCCTTCCACGGCGTCGTAGAGGCAACGATAGCCAACTCCGTTTCGGTCGTTTCTTGTTGTGCACCGACAAGCCTACTTTGCGGATCTTCGCCAGTCTAGACAAAAGGAATCCCCGAAGGTGTTCCAGTTAGTTGGTTAGTTATTGTGTACGTGGTGTGCCAGGTGGAGAGGGAGGGACGTTTACCGATGTAAGCCAGACCAGGAGAACCCTGCGGCGATCAACATGGAGAGGGCTCCCATGATGTAGAACATGTATTCTGTGTCCTCCAAGTTACTCCGGAGCTTTGTGTAGCATGCATTTGAGTAAACCTGTTGTTTTTACAAAGCATGGAAAGATTGACTACGCACATTCATGCCGAATACTCCAGCGACGAGGGTGCCGATACCAATACCCATGGTTAATATGGATATCTGAGGGTGTTTTCATTCAATGGGTAATTGGAGTATTGTATGATCAGAGACGCACCTTGAGGTCCAGTGTAAGTAAAGCATTACGATTAGAGTCTAATATCAGCTCCACGATCTCTTGTGTGGATTGTACGTTTGACTGGACACATCACGTCAGTTCCGGAACACGACAAGGTCGCTCACCATAAACATACCTGTATGTTCTCAGCCTCGTTGACAATTTCCTCAACCTGTTTGGAGAAGGACTCCAGAAGGACCTCGAGCTCTTCGTGGTCCTGCAACTGGCGATCAATCCCGTTCTTTTTGTCCGTAAGGTACATGGCTATCAGGTCTTCGTCTGCAGACAAATCAGAGTATTAGTCGTGACATGCTCGAGAACATATACAAATGAACCGACGACGTGCCTTGTTCGAGCACTTCCTCGAGTGCCTCCTGAACCTAAAGTCACAAAATGTCGAGGTAAGAAGCCGTGGTTTAACCGGTGTTCAAACACACCGACCCACCAGTTTAGCTCTATTTTGGAAACTCGCTAGTCGGCGAGAATAATGCAACAGTCGTTTGAAACGGTCATGGTCAATGTCGTCCTCCAACTCTGCCAACAGCCCGCCAACAAGGTTCCGGATGAATACCATCTCGGCTTCAAGCGCACTCAGAACAGACAGCAGGATAGAGTCAAGCGCGCTATTCATCATCCCGGCCAACGACCAATTAGTCACCAGATGGCAGATCTGTGAGGAAGAAGGGTCTCACCGGAACTCGTATGGTTGACCGGAGTTCTTCACTTTGAGATTGTGCTGTTATCAAGAAGATTGAGTCTATTTTCAGCTCGATAGAAAACCCTCGGTGTGCACACGCATACCTCAAGGTGGTATAGAAAGACGGAATGCAGTCTAGAGTCTGCTGACCCGTACGTGTCGAAGAGGACGACTGCATCTGCTTTGACCAGTGCGCGAATGTGTAGGACGTTCACCTGGAAGGAAGGGTTCACCGGTAAGAAGGCGCTTTCACGTGAGCAAGCCAGGGAGAGAACAAACTCACAAGGATAGCCTCTTTGCGCACCAGAATGGTGGGCACGAGATTGGGGATCCTGGAATCTATCTTCCGGAGGTCACGAGGCTGGTCCCACGCAAAACACGAGTGTAATCAGGCGACTGCGTGCGTAAGGGGTCTGTGGCGAGTAACGTACGTTAAGTCGGTGCTCCGTGCACAGATCAGAACGCTTGAACTGTCCAGATATCGTTGCAACATCGCCTAGAACCCAAGAACATCGTGATAAGAGCCTGTGCGTTGGTGTAGCATACTGAAAGACTCGCCATCCTGGTCAAGCACGGTACCTGTAGTTCGCAGGCTTTGGGTCAGCATGGCCGAACCCCAGGGGTTCTACCAACCAAGAGAGGACTCACAGCGTAGCATTAAATCCGTCGGCTGCCGCCCCTTCATCACCCTATCCAAGATAGCCACCTTCGCCGCTTCCTCCTGTCCATCTGAAGGTCCATTGAAATGTTCCTGGTATTGTGCGGGGGCTTTCTGCGACCAGAAATGACGTCTTTGTGTGATGTTCGCATGGGGGAGAGAACTGGCTACGTGGTATCGGGGAGAACTGGCGGTGTTGGACTGTGAGTGGCTACGCGTGGATATCGACGTTGCGCATCGGAATGGCGAGTTGTGGCTGTAAGGCTTGAGTCCAAATAATTTGGCCGAGAGGGTACGTAGTCCCATTACATGGTTGAAGCTCGTGCTGCAACGCGTTGTATGCATTCACTAAGCCAGTAACCAGGTTCTGCGAACAGAAATGCATTGTAGAGGTTGTTTGGGATGGCGAAAGACGAGGACGTAC